CTTGTGCCTCGGAAGCAGTCCCCCTTCACCCTAAGTGTGTCGTTACGGTCTCTGCTTTGGTCCACGCTCTGTGGGCAGCATTTTGTTAATTGGTGTGTGTGTGTGTGTGTGTGTGTGTGTGTGTGTGTGTGTGTGTGTGTGTGTGTGTGTGTGTGTGTGTGTGAGAGAGAGAGAGAAATCATTTAATTTAAAGATGTTTTCTGTATTCCTTTACATTTTCTTCCACTGATTTGGAAGTCCACTTGTTGAGGTTGTCTGAGCTCATCAAGTGTCGTTTGGGAAACTGTTCTCAGAGAATGTTGTGAGGAATAGTTGGAAATGAAACACAGAAAGAGCAGGCAAGTTTCAGTGGTGAGGTAGTTAGAAGAAATCTGTACAGAAATGTGATCAGCAGCCGAGAACTGTCCATGCCTGTGATACTGGAAGTCTGGCTTTTAAAAAATACCTTAAATCCAAATCCTGTGATCTCCGCTGTAACCAACACTAAAGGCAAGTGTGGTATTCTTTCAGGATCCCGGTTGGTGAAGGACTGACTGGTGGTTAGCTATTTTGTCCCAGAGATACCTTCCAATTTCTGAATCCCATGATCACGCCAAACTGAGGACTAGCGGTGTTAAGGGAAATTTGGGAAGTACTCAGATTCTTGGTCCTAAGGACAGTCAGTCTTTGGCTTGCTGCACATGTACTCTGCCCCAAGTATTGAGCCCCGTAGGCATTGTATGATGCACTCAACTCGTGTCCGCTTATCTTGTGGGAATCTGCAGGTAAACCTCATAAGGGCTAAATGCTTAGTTGTATCTGGTTAGAGCCACATTTACCAGAGCAAGTGGTTTAATGTTTGTAATACACTGATGTTTTCTGCTCAGATGAAAAAGTCAAATAATCATGTAAATGACACATTTTTACTGGAAGCAGTAAAACATTTGGGAGCTATTTTCTGCTAAGAGTTTTCATTTGGGTAGTTGTGAGCACAGATGCTGGCGAGGCGTGTTAACTCTTGAGTCCTACAGCCTCTGTAAGGTTGGCCATGCAAATATTTTTGAGCGCTCTGTCTTTGGAGCTAATGCCAGAGGAATATTTGCTGCATGGCCTGAAGCAATGATCAGTAACTGCCACGAGTCCTAGTTGGAGGGGAAATTTCACTTGGACTGAAATGTGTTCTTGTGGGAGGTGTCCTCTTGTCTTGGATGGAGTACCAGCACATACTGCGGTTTTAGTTTTTAGGGTGATTTTGGTTTAACTTCTAGTTAGCATTGTAGAGTAGTTGAAGTGAAGTCTTTTGTTTGGAATGATTCCATTTTAAAAATGTAAAGTTGGCTCAGCAGTGTTTATTTTAGTATCTCTTGGGTCAGAGGATGAACAGCTGTTCATACTATACTGGCTGGTCTTTAAGGACTTAAGTGTAATGACAGTGTTAGCTTTTCCTTTTTTTGGATAGCACGTGTTTCCTTAACGTTTAGTAGTTTGAGAAAACTGCTTTTTTTTTTTTTTTTTTTTTTTTTTTTTTTTTTTTTTTTTTTTTTTTTTAGAAATTGAAACAGAAAATAACCTCCTATTACTGTACTATAAATGTTTGAGCCAGTTAGAGAAAGTTAGATTAAATATTTCTTTAAAAAGGTGTGGAGAGACAATTAGCAGGCTTGATTAGATGAATATGCTCAACCATATGACTTTCTCAGTTCCTACAAATTCTAAATGAATCATTTTGCTCACAGTTCGTTTTGAAAAGCTGTTGCATCATATAATGCAATCATGCAAAGCCTTGAGAAATACATCTTTTCAAAGCACCAGTTGTATGCTAGGGCATCTTTATGCAGTGAGGAGCAAGATAGTGTACAAATACTAAAAGAGCTTTCCTTCTAATTTGGCAGCCTTCTCTAGGGAATGCAATGTTTATGCAAACATATTTTCCTGGGGCCGGAAGTTTGCTTGATTTAACTTTATGAATGGGTGGGTATAACGTCTCTCTGTCTTCCCAAGAAGGTATAGAATGTAAAATTTCACCTGTTTGTGCTGACTTGACTCAGTGTCCTATTGCTGTGGTAAAATTCCCTGACAAAAGCAACTTAAGAAAGAGGGGTTTTTTTTTGGGGGGGGCTCACAGTTCAGGTTCCAGTTCATCCTTACCAGGAGGTCACAGATACACAGGAAGAGACTTATGTCATGTCCCAAGTGAGACGAGAGCACTGAGGGCATGCTAATGCACAGCTCTGTGTCCATTTTGTACCATCCATTATCCCCTGCCTGCACACAATTAAGAAGGGTTTGAATATTTCAGTTAATGATCAAGATGGCCCACCTAAGGCCCACCTGGAAGATTTTGTCAACTTGATAAAACTAACCATAATACAACATTGTTATTTCAAAAGTGTTGGTGAACCCTGAGTTTTATGTCTTGTGTCAATCTATAAGAATGAAGTGTTCTGCCAGGCGTTGGTGGCGCACGCCTTTAATCTCAGCACTCGGGAGGCAGAGGCAGGGGGATCTCTGTGAGTTCGAGGCCAGCCTGGTCTCCACAGCAAGTGCCAGGATAGGCTCCAAAGCTACACAGAGAAACCCTGTCTCAAAAAACCAAAAATAAATAAATAAATAAATAAATAATAAAAAAATAAAAAGTAAAAAATGAAGTGTTCTATCTTGGTACTGTCTGAACTTGGGAAACATTAGAGCTGATGAATTGTTTAGCAGCCTCTGGTCAAAGTGTTCTAATGGTGGCATGTTTCATTTAGACCACTTACACTGTATTGTGACTTAATAGTGATGGAAAGAATAAATACAGTCACACTGCTTCCAGCATGGTCACTATGCTATTAGTTGATGAACTGCTTGCTGTTAGTAG